TGCATCAGGTTTCAACTTCAGTTCCTGTTCAGCCTTTTACAAATCACGGCTCTCAGCTCAAATTTGAAATAATACTGCCTTTTTCCCCATGTTCCTCCCGTGTTTGATTGTTTGTGGATACGAGCTGTCCAGGAAATCCCATACTTACAGATATAAATCCAGAATGATCTTGTTTTTCCGTAGCCAGCCCAGGATGTATGAGACAGTTATGATGATTTGTTAATTTTTGTGACCCGTGTTTATTTTATGTGTGCTGTATACTTTGAGGGTGGAATCAGCTGTTGAAATAGCCCGTGTCTCTCGCACATGGGGAGGAAGCGCTCTAGTTTGCTTTGCATTTGCTGGCTTTATTTTTGGAAGGTTTTTTTTTTTTTTTTTTTTTTTTTTTTTTTTTTTTTTTTTCATCTCAGTGTCTGCTCTTTCGGAGCTTCTCCCACGTGGTGATAAACAAGAGGTACATTGTGCCAGAGACTTCAACGGATCGTGGCCAGGGCGGGTCTTTGGAGATGTGTGAACAGGGTCACATTCTTTCCAAATGTGTTTTTGATCCACAATGTGTCTTGACTATATAATTCTGTTCTCATTTTTATGGGGGCTTACATTCCCTCCAGATAATACACAAATCCTCAGGTTTCAAATATGTTTAGGTAGAATTCTGCCTATTACAGACTTTACCAAGTCACAGTCTTTAAGAAGGAAAATCAATAATCACATTGTCTTTCGTGTTTTGTTTTTTTGCCTTTTCTCTTTTACTTTGCCTCAGGGAAAGGTAATCTGTGTTTTGTTGTTATTTGTTTGTTTTTTGTTGTTGTTGTTGATTTTTGTTTTCTTTTGTTTTGGGGGGCTAAATGTTGCTCTCCATGTCTGAATCTCTTCCTATTTAGAGGCCCACTTTTCCTTCCTGCTCTTGGTGTCCATCCACTGGTTGAGAGTTGCTGCCAGTGTTTGATGTCTCAACTTAGGGAGATTTGTAATAATGGAAACTGGGGCAGTGGATCAAACGAAAAACAACAACAAAAAATAAAAAGGAAAGAAAAAATAATAATAAAATTCTAATCCTTGCTAACAGCTGATATTTACAGTAGCCTGTTGTTTTTGTAGCTAAATTTTAGCAGGATTTCATATTTGCATCCATTTGGATGTAGAAAGCGGACACATGCCAACGTTCATAACTGTTCCTGAGGCCTCCACATTTTCCATAGCCCCCCCTTTTTTATTTCGACAGCATTTCAGTGGGCTGCATTAGAGGCCATTTGAATATTTCATTTCCTATTAATTATGCACTGTGGCTCTCAGTGTCATTATAAAAAAGAGCCCTAATGTAACAAAGGATGAAAAGAACCATCAAGCAGTGTGACCAAAAGAAAATATTCCAAAGCTTGTCACGTATGACCGGCTTAACATCTCTAATTTGAAATCCATTGCATTCATCTTAAATTAAAGCTTGCGGATCCTACCTTTACCTTGTGGCTTCCGCTGCTTGTTTTAGGTGACTGAATTTTTAGTTAAAATATTAATGGATTCTGAAGGTAGAAAGACTTTCCTTTTCAAGTCATCAAAATATGCACAACATTAAGTATTTAGTTCTGTCTGTAATTTTTGCATTTCACCTTTAAACCCTGGTTAAAGACGTTAGCTGTTAATGAGAACTGTGCACTTGAGTTAATAGGTTAATAGCCATTAACTATTCGGCTAATAATTCTTAACTATTATTAATCACTACAGCTCTCTTTTTGTTTTATTGGTGTTATGGAGGAAAATACAGTGTTAATTTATCAAAAGGAACGGGATTTCTAGAATTTCACATTGTATTTCTAGCTCTCAGAAAGGCTATCATCTTAATTAAATAAGGTGAGATCATTTGTTTTCTATCCTTGTGGATGGAGCATGGCGACATGTTTTTCCATAGATGTTTCTTGTGGCTGCAGTGTTCAATACTTGATAGCCCTGGATCATTTCAAACAAACAACACAAGAGACTGGACATCTTGCAGAAATGTCTTTGCCCCAAATTTGAGTGTTCCATTCTTGAAAAAAAAAAAATGTATTTTGCTTCAACTACATGAACTCTCATATAGCAAGGTAGGAAAGAGGGCTCAGTTTCAGGACAGGCTTGTATTTTCTTTATGTTGGCTAGATAAAGGAAACTTTAAATGTTTGTAAATGACTACCTCCCCTCCCCCTCCCCCCT